TGATAGCAGATTCTACTATCTCATTGTTCTTATTGTAATGGATGCTACATAACTTTACTCAACCAAGAGCCTTGCTTCAAGTGTGATCGACCCAAACCCAATAGAGTTAAGATGAAAATCAATCTATTGACTCATAGCATACTTTGATCAATCTTTGAGAATATATGGTCAGTTTGACAAGTTCTTTGATTTTTTTTTTGGTTCTTAAGAAGAGGTATTTTAGAAAACTAGCTTAGTTAATTTTTGAAAATTAATTTCTAAAAGAACTTCTTTTTTCGAAAGAACTTTTAGAGGAAGTCGTATTATGCCAATTTCATATAAAACACTTTTATAAAATTAATCTAACATATTCAAAAGTTCTTTTTGACTCCACTCAGTTACTTTACCTATAGAGAAAAGGGATGGTAACGTTCTGCTCATTTTTATGAATTCATTAACATGTTATATTCAAATCTACTTTGCCGATTTAATTAAAAATCAGATTTTTAGTAAAATTTTGAAAAAAGGTTGTGGAATCTGTGATTGAAAAGTTAAATATTCCATGAAATATATGATTATAATTAATTGTTAACCTGACTTAGATTTGAAGTTGAACCCAAACACAGATTTTTATCTATTTGTTAGTTTTAGTGGACAATTGATAGATGTTATTTATTTATAATTTTTAAATTAAAATAAATTATATATTTTATTTCTTAAATTAATTACTTTCGAATATTAAAAAGATTTCTTGTGATAAAATTTTACTTTCTAGAATATCTTTAAATTATTTATATAATTTTATTACAACTTGAACCTTAACTTGTAATTTAAATAATGTAATAGCAGATAGCCCCTGGGGCATAGCCTAGTGGTACAAAGAATAGGAGTGAGATTATCTCACGCATTGCTGGCAGTTGTAGTGTGGAGGTTTGATTCCTGAGACATGGAATTGGATTCCTTGTAAGCGCAGTGTACAGACAGTTCTTATTTTCTTGTCTGTTGGGACACATCCCTCGATTTACCTCCCTCACAAAATTTTAGAGATGGAATGATGAGGGCCCTCAAAATTGAGGTTCAACATTTTTTAATAAAGTAACAGCGGACGATGTTAAAATAATGCGGTGGATAAAGGCATTTAATCAACGTTACGTAAGTTATTGCAGATTGTTAGAAAGTTCAGCCGCCGAGTAATTGGCGTTTTGCTGCTGGCGGCTATTTCCACTTTCCAGAAGCTTCAAAGCCGTTAGCATATTAACTTTTGTCATCCCTTGATTCTGCCACGTATTTACTCGAAATAAATATATAAATAAGAATAATACTACTTGTATATAATATATTATTATATAATTATAAATAATGTTATTCACAGTCGCTCATTACAGTAGTTGTCCTACGCAATATCCTACATGATAATTTGTGATTTGATGGATTAATGAGGTAGTTTTTCCTTGCCTTATATATCATATCATTAAGCGCCATATTCATACTACATAGGGTGATTACGATAGTGAGTGATTGCATATAACATTATTTTATAATTATTTATATAAAGATAAGTCGTCAAAAAGAGAGTTAATGTTTTTATTTGGTTGAATAAATTTTGATTTAATAATATTTTACCATATTATATGTATAAATATATATGTAAGTAATATTTCAAAAAATTTGGAGATTAATCATTGGAATAATTCTAAAAGATTAATGGTAGGAATTTTTTGGACATTCATTTCCTGCAAAAAAAAAAAAATTAAATTAAATAAGCTCACAAATATGCAAACAAAGTATAAAATATAGGTGGAAAATGGTAAAAGAAGTCAATGGAAAATCAAATCATTCAAAATTTGTTATTTCGGCAAATTTTATACTACTTATCCTATCTATAAAGAATGGTAGAGATGGCTAGGTGACATATCAATAGTGGTTAAACCATTGACAACTTTGTTGGATATTTATATTTTGTGTGAATGAATGTATGTATTTAGCCTCTATGTCGTATTCAACTTGATGATACATCACGTGAACTTTGCAAAAGTTTGAAAAATTGACCTCTTCATGAATTCTTCGACAAGGAATACACTATATAATTTTCTTTACTGCACCTTTTTTTGGATTTTAAATTGGATTAAGCTCGACCTTCTTCTTTCAACATTTGAAAGAGTATATGCTATTTGAGAATATTAGTTCGTTACTCATTTTATGTTAAGTAAAATATTCAGAATTCAAAAGTAAATATTTTACCTGTGCACTCTGTTAAATTTACAAGTAACATTTAAATGCGTGTGATGTTGCCAAAATTTCAAGGGAGCTAATTAAAGTAAATTACATGCTATTTTAATGTTGTCTTTCAAAATATAATAAAGAGGTAAAATCCAATTAATAGTTTGATGACCAATAACAAATTGACAAAGTAGAAAAAACTAAAGCTCGAGGCTTATAGTGCAAAAGTAACCTAAAAAGGCTAAGTTCAACTTTGTAACTAAAAAAAGACTTAAGTTTAAAATTCTAAATAAGTCATATATTTTGATAATAAAGCAGAGTTATTTTTGAAAGAAGTAATTATTTCACTTAAAAGCAAAAACAGAAAAATTATGATTGAGATTAAAAGTTAAAATAACTTCTTTTAAAAAAAAAGGTTGAACCCCAACTTTAAGGGTCCCCTATTGCCCTGCCCTGGAGTATCGTGAGGGAGGTAAATCGCAGGTTATACCTTCAAGGGTACAAGGTGGAAGGCTGTTTGTACACTTGCACTTACCCAAGAGTCAAATCCATATTTTAGGATTCGAACCCTTGACACGACAGCCTTAAGTAAAACTGAATTTCTCCACTCTCCCCTTTTACCACTTGAAGATGTGCCCTGAGGGCTAAAATAACTTCTTTTTAGCTTAGCCATTAAACCAAAAAAGAGTAAAAAGGGCATCGATACAAGCCTATTTTAAAGGACTTTCTAATCGATAATGTCGTGTGAAATATCTCTAAAATCGTGACCAAGAAAAATATCTTCGCAAAAATTATGCCTACATTCAATGAAACGTTGAATAATAATTGCTAGGGGCATAACGAGATTTAAAGTTATGAGGATTTATCTATGGAGGAACTAACATAGAAATGCCAAATATTAATTTGGTATTAACATTTGTAAGACATTGATTGTTCAATGAAACAATAAGAAATAATATCAAACTCCAAACAGAAGTATCTACCTATTGATAATTTATCCAATTTTAACAATGGTAGGGAATGGAAGTTAATCTTCTTTGAGAATTTCCTAATTTATCTTGTTTAAACTTGAAGAATTAATGATTATTTTATTATTTTTTTCCCTTCATTTCAACTTTATTTCCCTTTACTCATTCGATCCATTAAAGAGACAATAAAGAATAAACTTTAAATCTTAGCATATAAGCGAAAATTTGTTTCTTTTTTAATATAAACATTAATAGATCAAATTCGATATAAATGACACTTCAATATATAAACTAGAAAAATCTTCACATATTATGACAATCTTTTATGTCAATTTGCTTCTATAATATTTTTTACAACAATTTTTATAATTTGTCACGCTTTTTGATATATTACGACAACTTTTTATGTCGACTTATATTCTTTTGGTACTTATATTTTTCACTATAATATTTGCAACAAGCTTTAAAAATGTGTCCCGTTAAATCATTTATTACGACAATTTTTTGTATGTCGCAAAATATTTTGTCTCTAGATAACAATTTTGTTGTAGTGTTTAACTATATATTCTTCAAAAAATCACTATTTCAAAATATATTTTCTCCCAAAATCACATTAAAATGGAGCCCAAACACAGTAATTTTTGTTTGGTCCTCATTTCTTAAAAAACTAATTTTTTAAAGTCATTTTTAATAATGCATTTTTTGGATCACAATTTTATCAAATTTTCAATCACATATTTAAAAAAAAGTACTAAAAATTTTAATTTTTATCCAAGACAAACAGGGCTCAATCTCTTTTATAGTTTTAATTAAAAATGAAAGTTCATTAATACTTTAAACTTACTAAGATATTTTTTAAAAAGTTATCATCGACAAAAAATTCTATTGTTATTATTAAATTTTTATTTTGTTATCTAGTCTTTTTCCTTTGATAATATTTATTACATTATTTTGAAACCGATTTCTGTGAATTAAATTTATGAAAATATTTTAATTATGGTAGAACAAGAATATTTAACATATGAGTGCTTTTAATTAGCAGTCATATTTTACTTGCTCAACGAAGAGATCAGTGACATCTTTTTGTTTGCCATATAACCTATTTGATAGAAATTATAATATAGTTAACAATTAATTTTAATTACATATTATATATGATCAACAATTTTCTTACCAAATATTTTACTAACTTTTATTAAAATCTGCTAAAAATCTAATTTTAATCTCAATCAAACAAGTGCTATAATGCATTCTAATTGAAAGCATGACAAAATTCGTTAATTTAAACACTTTTAATATAATCAATTATGTTGAACAAGGTTTTGACAAGTGCTATGTTGGCGGTACTTGTGTGGTTTCGTGTATATTTTTTTTTTCAAACTGCTCGATGAATTGAATTGGTTACACATGTTTTCCTAATTTTATATCCTGTCACTCATCCTACTTGTGTAGCAAATCTTGTAATATAATATAATACAAAAAATCATTAGCAGAGTAGAGTTTGGAGCAAGCAGAGTGAGTCTTAAAGAAGTCCAAACTCCAAAGTATAATTATAAGTATATATCGTTGGCTTAAAGAGACAACCATGCAATACGAACATCGGGTTTGCCATCGGCAATAACCACATACACATACATGGGGATTGAGTATTAATTTATTTATGTGGGACCCACATATCTATATTAGTGCACGATCGTTCTTGCGGATCGTTTGGCTTTATTCTTAAAGAGATTAGTAGACGGCTCGATCGAATCGGCGGGCCCTTCGTAGAACCCACCATTTTTATCACTTTTGTTTTATTCCCAACTAGACACTGCTAAATTCAGCTCAAATAATTCCCGCACCTAACCCAAATTCATCCCCCTAATACAAATTCTCTCTCCCATATCTCAACCTTTACTCGCCACCACTAGCCGCCCCCTGCTCTCCCTAATTTTTCTCTCTAAATTTCCATTCCCCATTTTCTCTCTTCCCGAAAACCTAAAATCTTTTGGGTATGTTAAGGATTTGATTTGGTGACAAGTACTAAGTTTGTTGTTGGGTTTGTATGCCAGTCTCTTGATTCAATTTCAGGTTCAGTCTGTGTAATGATTTGTTACGATGAATCTATGGTCAAGTAGCATTACAACAAAAACAGCAGCGACAACAATTACGACTACAGACGATAACGCGTCGATGATGGAGGCCTTTATGTCATCCTCTTCCGATCTGGGTTCTTTTTGGCCCGCCCCATATGCTCCAAATCCTGCTGACCCATCGAAATCCTCGTCGTCAGCGGCGGCGACCGCTGCCACGGCACAGTTTTTCAACCAAGAAACGCTGCAGAAGCGTCTGTTGGCGTTGATGGAGGGTGCTCAGGAGAGCTGGACTTACGCGATTTTCTGGCAATCGTCGGTGGCTGACTACGGTGGTCCGTCGCAGCTGGGCTGGGGCGATGGGTACTATAAAGGCGAAGAGAATAAAGTGAAGCGAAAGACGGCGGCGTCACCGGCGGAGCAAGAAAACAGAAAGAAAGTGCTGAGAGAGTTGAATTCTTTGATTTCGGGCCCACAATCCTCAGCCGATGATGCTGTTGATGAAGAAGTGACTGATACTGAGTGGTTCTTTCTCATCTCTATGGCTCAGTCCTTTGTCAACGGGTCCGGGCTTCCCGGTCAGGCCTCGTACAGCTCGAGCCCAATCTGGATAGCTGGTGCCGATAGGTTGAGTGTTTCTCACTGCGAGCGGGCTCGCCAGGCTCAGATCTTCGGGATCGAGACCATGGTTTGCATACCGTCTTCAAATGGAGTCGTGGAGCTTGGTTCGACCGAGGTGATTTTCCAGAGTTCGGATCTCATGACCAAGGTTAGAGTTCTGTTCAATTTCAATGGCATGGAAATGGGTTCCGTGGCTCCGGCCCCGGGACCTGGATCTGGATCCCGCTCGGGCTCTTGGGCGGCCTTGGCGGAGAATGACCCGTCAGCTTTATGGTTAACCGACCCCTCGTCCTCCGGTGTGGAAATGAGGGATTCTTTGAATGACAGCAATGCTAATATCAATAACAATGGTGTGGGGAGTTCAATTCCTTCGGTTAGTGCTAGTAAGCAAATTTTGTTTGGGAATGAAAATCCTAGTACTAGTACTTTAACAGAGAATCCGCACCACCACCACCACCAGCAGGCACCGGGGTTTATTACAAGGGAGTTGAATTTTTCCGATTACGGGATCGATGGGGATAGTGTTAGGAAGGTAACTTGTAAGCCGGAGTCGGGTGAGCTTTTAAATTTCAGGGAGAGTACGAAAGGGAGTGTGTGTAGTGGGAATGGAAGTTTGTTTGGAATTCAAGGGGAGAATTATAATAATAATAATAACAACGTTAGCAATAAGATCAAGAATAAGAAGACATCCCCAACCTCAAGGGGGAGTAACGAGGAGGGCATGCTATCGTTTACTTCGGGTGTGATTTTGTCCCCCTCGGGTGCAGGGAAGACGAGTAATGGTGGTGGTGGGGAACTTGATCATTCAGATCTTGAGACATCTGTGGTTAAAGAGGGGGATAGTAGTAGAGTAGTCGACCCCGAGAAACGACCTAGAAAAAGGGGTAGGAAGCCTGCAAATGGGAGGGAGGAGCCTTTAAATCACGTTGAGGCCGAGAGGCAAAGGAGGGAGAAGTTGAACCAGAAGTTTTATGCGCTTAGAGCTGTTGTCCCGAATGTGTCCAAGATGGATAAGGCTTCGCTACTAGGAGATGCTATATCTTATATTAGTGAGTTGAAATCAAAGCTTCAACGTGTGGAGTTGGACAAGGAAGAATTGAAGAGTCAATTGGACTCGGTGAAGAAGGATTTAGCAACTAAAGAGCCTCGAGTTTTAGATCCTCCACCCGAGCGAGATATCAAAGTGCCAAGCCATGGTGGTAATAAGATTGTTGATGTTGAAGTAGAAGTTAAGATCATTGGTTGGGATGCGATGATACGGGTTCAATCTAGTAAGAGTAACCACCCGGCAGCAAGGCTGATGATGGCCTTTAAGGAGCTAGACCTGGATGTTCACCATGCTAGTGTGTCGGTGGTGAACGATTTGATGATCCAGCAAGCCACGGTGAATATGGGGAGCCGATTTTACACAAAAGAACAGCTTAGGGTTGCATTGACATCAAAAGTTGCTGAAAGTCGATAAATTGTGTAATGGTGTCTAGCTATGTACGATATTTGTGTTTTACTATTTTAGAGCTTTGAGGGCTGAAATGTGAAGGCTGGGCTAATTCAGCTTTCCATTTTTCTTTTGCCTTCTCTAGTTTTGTGGTTAGTTTCCAGTTCCTGTGTACATATTTGTAAAACCCAATAAAAAATTTTGGGCTCGTATTTATGTGATTAGACATGCTAATCTGTCCTTCCTGTTTGTAAGATTGAATCTCTGTATTTCTTTGCACGTGATTTTTGGTGGATGGATGGATTAACTAAGAGATGTAAAGGGTATTATCACCGCCTCCCAGTCCAAAAGTTATAGTTTAAAGTGCATGTACAATTCACTCTATCACCTATAATCAAGTATGGGCCCTTCGACTATCATATTTCAAGCATGTTTCTACATTATTCACCCCAGCCCACTCGACCTACCAACCAACGGAGGAGCTCCAGTATCGACTTGAATAGGGTTGCTCCAGTTATGATATCAACTGCTGTAGGGTATTGTCGTCACTTAATTCAAAAGTTATAAGCTTACTAGAGTCAAGATTTGGAATTCACTCCAAATCCAGTTTGTTTGGTCCTACCCTGTTTCAAGCACATTCTTGCATTTTGCTCGACCGAAATGAAGAAAGCTCAAAAGGTATCAGATGAATGCGAGATTTTTTCAGTACTTGGAAGACAATGGAAAATGCGACTAAATGCCCCTTCAAAATGACCTACCTAAAGCACAAAACTATTAAACACATTTCTGAAAATCTGCCATTGTATGGCTGTGGATTTTTTGGCTTTTTGCATGCATCAATGTCAGGTGTCAACTGGTTCGTTTATGATAATAGATGCATGAATAATTTTTGTTGGACAATGCTACATGTACATAATTTTTTTTTTACCTAATTCTTTATTTACTACTCACAATTGGAGGGTGGAGACCACATTTGGGGATTTTTATATTCACGCGGGGCCGTGTGCATTGTGAGAGGGGAACAATTTTCAATTTTTGTCCCAATATCACACATTTGTTCATTGAACCTATTCCTCCTAATCTCTGGCTTAGTGTCTTATTTTGATCATTGGAAAGCCAGATTTGTTATCCTTTTGACTTGAACGGATTCATGTTGCTCCAGATATACTTGAACATTTCTATATGTACACTCGATAGGACTGTTAACTCAAATCACAAAACTTTAGATCTGAAGTAACTCAAATCACGATACATTCATGCATGTGATGCTATTTAGGAACAGGAACTGTTCCTTTTGTGCACAAATAAGAATGTAGACTGTTTTGTCGTTATTCTTTTATTGGGTTACTTTTATTATTATTATTTTTTAATTTCATTTCTCTTTTTGATGGGACACACCGACATGTATGTATGAAATTGAGCACACAATGATTGGTTGCTGCAGAATTTTTATGGTGGGAATTAGCTCTTAATTTACCTTATTAGGGATAGTATTTTAGATGTCAATGAAAATGTGTATGCAGTAATGAATGAATTGACATGAAAATATTTACTTGTTTTTATTTTTTAGTATTGTATTGTCCAATATTATACGTTCTATTTTAGTAAACTATCCAGAAAAAGTGTGCTTTTAACTAAAATATTACATACTTTGTGGAGATAACTTAAATGTTACTAAAGACTTTTTCTACTCTATTACAACCCTACTAAAAAATAAAGTAGAGAGAGAGAGTAAACTATCCAGAAAAAGTGTGCTTTAACTAAAATATTACATACTTTGTGGCGATAACGTAAATGTTACTAAAGACTTTTTCTACTCTATTACAACCCTACTAAAAAATAAAGTAGAGAGAGAGAGAGAGAGAGAGAGAGAGAGAGAGCCCCCATGGCACATCTCCAAGTGATAAAAGGGGAGGTGGAGAAATTCAACTTTACTTGAGGGTGCCACGTCAAGGGTTCGAATCCTGAAATACGAATTTGGTTCTTGGGTAAGTGCAAATGTACAAGTAGCTTTCCACCCTGTACCCTTAGAGGCATAACCTGCGATTTACCTCCTTCACGATACTTTAGGATAGGGGCGGTGGGGGACCCTTAAGGTTGGGGTTCAACCTTTTAAAGTAGAGAGAGAGAGAGAGAGGATATTTGCCAATTTGTGGTGTTTGAAATCAGAAGATTACGTCGTATCAAATGTGTATCATGTCTAAAGGCTCGCTTGGTACCCATTATTTTCAAAATACATTTTTCTCTCTTTTCTTTTCAACGACTCATTCTTTATTAAAATAGTATTACACGTAAATAAAAAATTTTTTCTTATTTTTCAACCACACATTTCCCATCAATTTACTATTCAAAAATATATTTTTATATAAAAATGTCAACCAAATACCCTCTAAATTTCCTAAAAAAAGAAATCAATCATGCTACATATTCAGACTCAAATCTAAGCTCAAATCCAGATGAAATATGTGTCGACGCATGATTGAACAATTTGAAAAATTAAAACAAAAATACTCATTTTCTGACACATTAGTCTGTCTCTTCAAACACTATTTTCAAGTCTGGTTAAATGACTTTATTCAAAAGGAATTAGATGACTCGAGATGTCTTAAGGATTGTCCAAATTCGAGTTGCAGAATAAATTGTCGTAACACTCCAAGCCAATTGTATTAAATTAGAGTAACTTGATCGCATTATTGGCTTCTTCTTTTTTAAGAGCAAAAATATATTGAAAGAATTTGGCCCTTTATTATATTTTATTAAACAACATTATTTGTTTACTAATAATGAAATACTCACAATCTAATCTTGCGAAATGGGAATAATAGACTTCACACACATGATAGTGAAGGAGAAACTAAGGGCATGTTCTCCATGTGAAAAATTTGCTTATCATTCAATTAATTATAATTAAGTATTCGTATGACTCACCTTTGATTGTTTGATATACTTTTAAGCAACTTTTTCATTTTATAAAGTTAATTAAGTGGTTAAAGAGGTCAAATGCATTACAGCTGTTGATATTTTATTAGTATTTTCCCTTATATTTTAAATAATTTAATCAAACTCCAAGAATTGATATACAAAATGAAAAAGACGATATAATAATGACAAACAAATTGCGAGATAGACAATAATTAAGAATAAATAAAACTCACTAAAAGATAGTATTGATATTTTTTACTTAATGTCACATTCATTATTATTTCTTTTATCAGTCATACAGGACCTCATAAATGGGCACTGGGCTTCTAGCATGCTTCATATTCCATTTGTCAATGAGATTAGACTATGCTATTATTCTAAATACTTAATTTTCTTCATTAGATTTTGGTGAGCTGACAAGCAATCCAGGAGTCTTAAACAAAAAATTTCAGGGTTTTTTCAAAAATAACAATAATAATAAAAGGAGCAAATGATCACCTACTATAACATCGTCGATATTTGTAGGTAATTGCGGACGAAATTATTGAGATATATGTCATTACACACCTCCATTGAGGTTGATAATATCATCGACTATCACTGTTGGTGTTATAGTAGCTGATTGTCAATAGACATTGCTGGCATCATTATTGAAAACTTTATTGTTTTTTATTTTTTAAAATTCCATTGACAAACTTTCTATAACTTAAGAATTTTTTTTAATATAATATTAATGCGATACAAATTTTTTTTCTAACTCTTATTTCAATATTGATTTTTTTAATATTAGTATTTGATTTTTTCGTTTTTATTAACTTATTTTAGATGAAATTTTCGTTTATATACATATACTAAAAAATATCTTTTCTATTATTACAAACTGAAATTCTGTTAATAATTTTGAATTTTATAACTGTTGTTTAATTACTAAGACCCTGTTTGTGGCCTTTAATATTTTTTTTAAAAAAAAACTATGTTTTGAATAGTATTTTTGAAGACTGTGTGGTTGAAAGTAAAGAAGAATTTTAGGTTTATGTGTAGAATGTTTTATTGTGTAAATGTATGGCTTGAAAATATATGAAAAATAAATTAAAGTAAAATAAATTAAATTAAAGGCAACCAAACAGGGGCTAAGATATGAAATCTCAATTTTTAACTAAAGTTCAACCCAAGTCTAAAACTCCCATATAACTATAAAGAGAGCACAAGAAAATACACTGCAAAAGTTTCGCCTACAATTTTTTTAGAAAATAGACAATTATTTCACGAAAAGATAGTAAATATTGGATTTTTATTTTTTATTTTTAGATTATTTTGGTTGATGAGTCTGAGTTTCGGGATGAGATTAGCTGCTTGAAATACAGAGATGGATTTTTTTTTTTTTAATTTTTATATAAAACTGGTGTTTTCTCTTTTGTACAATTTTTATTGCATTTTTCATGAGTTCTTGAGAAAATTGATTAAAAAGACAATCATGATTTCTCATATTGGCTTCACTTTTAATTACATTTTACGATGAACTTTAATTCGAATTGCATGTTGCACATACCAAATCTTGCGGTTGCTATCAAGAGCACGAGTTTAAAAAATCTAATTTAGTTATACAAGTAAGTTTTAAAATAAATAATTTTTAATTGATTAAAATTGAAAATTATAAATTACTTATTTTGATATTAAAATTGAAATAACTTTCAACTAAGTGTTTTTTTTTTTTTTTGAAACATAAAAACAAGAAAAAAAAGTAATATATCCAAATATATTTAAAAATAATAACTTTATACTTTTTTGCTTTCGAGGCCTATGACAAAGCGCAATTTTGCTTATAGGATTAGAATAAAGCCCTTTAACGCCCGTGTACACGGGCCCACCTCGCCCCTCACATGGGGTGAGATCCCACATCTGGCCCACGTCTAGGTCCCGCCCCCGATGTGAGGGGGCGGGTGGGATCGTGTACATGGGCATGTAAAAGCCCGTATACAAGAAGCACAGTTCATAGGATTACTACACACAGACACATGCGTATGCAATCGTATCTTTCTATCTTACAGAGTATTTTTATCGGAAGGAATACTTCACAATAGTAAGTGAATGGCATTTTACATTCATTAAGTTTAAGAAATAGCAACGAACTTTTATCTTTTCAATATTTGCTGATCTTTAAAAACAATAGAATATTTTTATATAGCTTTTATATTTCGAAACCTATCGGATATTTTGTTTGTTCTTACTTTTAAGTAAAATATATTTACTTATTTTCAACTTTTACGATTTTAAAAAGTTATTTATACCTATAATTCAAGTATTTGAGCTTGGCCAAACATGCTCAAGGATGTAATGTATTTAGCCATGGTCGTCTTTCATTTTCTTAAACTC